AGCAGAGGAGAAAGCTGGGTGGGAGCTGTCTTCCCAGGGACCGGGCCTAAAGACTGGTACCTACGGGGGCACCTGGGGCACAACCTTGCCCCACTGTGGACTCCTCTCTTTCCCCATCTTCTCATTCCCTCATCTCTGTAGAGCCTTGAGCCAGTGGGGGGTTCCATCAGTGCAGCCTTCCACCTACTCCTCTTTCCAGCTGTCCAATCCGCCGATAACTCTCCTTCCAGTCTGTTTTTCTTTCCTTTCTTTTCCTATTAACGGTCACCTTCTCCTGAATGTTCACAATGCATTTTGTGCGCTTTATATGCAGTATCTTGCTTTCTCTTTGCAACAACTTTAAGAAACTAGGGTTTCAGAGTGGAGGTGACTAGCCCAGGGTCATACGCCTACCACCTGGCAAAGCTACGTTCAAATCCAGGCCTGTCTGGTTCCAAAGCCCGCCCTTAACCAGGATGCCACACCATCTCCAACCTGGAAGTGGCCCCAGAGACATGGCTCCCTCCTGCAACAACCGTCTTTCTCCAGCACTTCCCCCTTTTTCTAATAAGATTCACTCCAAACCTCTGCTCTCTCAGATGGGGTCACCCCAACTCTCCTCAGACCTCTCTCAGGAACAGTGCGAACCAGGATCCTCTTGCCACGAGAGCTTTTCTTCTCTCAAGTCCTGCCAGACCCTGAGGCCTTCACTGTCTCTTCCCACGAGAGGGAAAAGCAGCTTATCTGGCAATAGGACGTAACTGCCTTCAGTTCAGGCCTCTGCTCTTAGAAAACAAACACAGCCACAGAAGCAGATGCAGCCCTTGTGCCTAGACTCTGACCTCTGGCCAGTTCCCTCAAATGTCTTATCTCCCAACTCATCTTGGGTGAGCACAGATGCCAGAGGCTTTTGAGGTGGGCAGGAACCTTCTGCATCAAAAGTGTTCCCTTGTGCCGTGTCTCTGCATCCACATAGTGCCCTGAAAAGGCAGCTTGCGAGGATGGGGAAAGAGAGGCTCAGAGAGTTTCCATGATTTCCTCTGGGTTACCCAACTAGTTGGTCACATAATTATATCTTAAACCCAGGTATCCTATACCCACCCCGCCACACACACACGCAAAGCCAGAACATCCTGGCTTCAGGCTTTCCACAATTTTTAAAGAAAAACAAGGAACTGAGGGCAACTCCATGCTCATGGCAGCCAAATCTCCCCACTCTCTGAAGCCAGCTGGGAGACTCGGTTTTGCTCTGCAGGTAATGGCCCGTAGCATTCTTTCTGCTGGCTGCCCTGTATTTGCCTGGAAGGTACCATCTCCTGTCAGTTACCTGTCTGTCGAAGTTGCTACTTCCTTCCCCAGGGTATTTTTCTGCACAAGCTACCACTTCTCCTGACCAGGAAAAGCGCCTGCTGGGCAGAACGCCTTCTCCCCCCTCACCCTGCCGAGGCTCAGAGGACCCTGAGCAGACTTGCAGAGGCCCAAGGAGCACGTGGATTCAGCTGGCACCTGTAGTGGGAGCAGAGACTCAGACAGCCAGTTCAGATGATGTCCCAGGGCAAGCAAAAGCCGGGAGACACGTTCCAAGAGGAGACCCAAGACAGAGGCAGCTTTCAGCACTGCCTACAAAGTCAGACATCATCTGGGCCTCAGGACCCAGCTTCCCTCAGGCTGCTGCTGTGGAACCACTCAAAACCTTCCGGCTGTGGCCCCAGTTTTCAATTCATGTCTCTTAAGGCAAGTCTCATAAAGGCCGCCGCCTGCCCCTTGCACTCTGTTAGTTGCAAAAGAAACAGTTCTCCCAAGCTGAGGGGGCTCTACTTAGAGAGACTGAGAGGGGAGATTGTCTGGATACCTTTTTTTTCTCAAAGCCCGAGTTTTGGAGTCAGCAGCCCTGCCATGAAATCTTGGTAAGCTGCCACTTACCAGCTGTGAGACCAGAACAAGTCCCTACAATTATTTAGGCTTCAGCTCTCTTATCTGCTGAATAGGATCATGCTGCCCATCTTCACGGGACTGCTGGGGGGTTGCAGAGACAGTGCTCACAGGGCTTAGCGCAGGGCCTGGCACACAGTAGGTCTCGCTAAATGGCAGCTCTCGTTCTCCCCGTCATCAGAAGGACGACGGAGGCAGGTGCAGCTGCCTCTTTGGCACTGGGATCTGCCGGTCTCGGCCTTCTCGGCCTGCCCTTCAGGTCCACAGCTGATTCCCTGAGAGGGTAAGGGAATGAAGGGCACGGGAACGTCCGTGACGGAGGGCACCTGCTGCTCACGGGTGCTCACCCTCTTGAGGGAGAATCACCACATACATTGTAAGGCCTGGTTTGTAAAATCAGGGGAACAAAAATGAACTCCGTCACAATACTGCTTTCAGCAACCTGTTCTGTCCTTTTCAGGCACACTCGGGACCTTTGTGGTGTTTCAGTGACGGGGTTGGCTGCCAACCTTCTTGTTCCCCTTTGGTGAGGAGAGCTGAGCTCCCCACCCCTCCCATTGTTGAAGACCACCCAGTGAAACGCGCTGGCAAGCTGCCACCGTCCAGGCAGGCGAGAGCCGGGCCTGACGACCCAGCCTCCATCTCTGCAACAGAAGGCTACAGAACGACAGGCACCTGACTGCGGGGCTTTCACCTGGAGCCGACGCGGCCTTCACGACGGCCAGACCACCAGCGCTGTCCAGAAAGGGCTGCAGGCGATTGCTTGGAAGGCCTGTGCATTGCAAGAGACATTAGATTCTAACCCTTGGCTATAACACAGCAGATTTTTATGTAACTTGTTCACTACAAGACATCCGTTCATAACGACACAAGTAAACAGCCGTGAATTTCCGTCACTTTACGTGGTCTCACTTGCAAAAGTGGGTACTGTGCTGACTGACTGCGTGATGAAATCCCTCACGCGGGCGCAAGTACGTAAAAAAGGACAAGGTACCGTGACACCTCTGTGGGACGACAGTCATCAGGCAGAAAAGCAGAGAGCCAAGTCGGGGGGTGGCGGGGGAGATGCTCTGTGAAGCAATTAAGAGCAGCCTCTGCTTCCACAGAAAAGTAAGAAACCCAGAACCCCCCAATTTTCCTCTCCAATTAACTGTGACCCATACCTAATAGACCTGCTGGGATTGCAATGTTAGGTAAGTTCAGACTAGTCAAGGCACTTGGCTGGGACTATTCTGGAAAAATATTGGCAGGCTGGGAGACCTGCGGAGTGCTCTCTTCGAGAGTCCAATTCCAGCCCAGCCTCCAAGGCCAACCAGTTCTACACACCCTTCTCCTCTTACCTGTAGCTCCCATCCTGTGCGACAGCCACCTCGTAGCAGCCAAGGAGGGTCCTGGGCAACTGGAGAGCCCAGCAACTTTTATTTGCCCCTAAAATAAACGTCTTCTCACTTGTTACTCTGGGAATAATTTCAGAGCCAAGCAAACCTACCCCAGACAGCAGAACAAAGGGCAAATGGAATTTAAAAGTGAAAAGCTGAATTCAGGCATGTGTTTCTAGCATTCTCAGCTAAAATCTGACCTGGCTGAGAAAGAAAAGATCACAAATTTCTCCTTTTTCCCCTGAAAGCTACTCAGTAACTGCTTTTAGAAACTTGTCAAAGACTCGCATTTCTGAGGTTCTGTATTTAATGCAGAGATTCCAGTTTGTTTGGTTTTTTTTGCGGTACGCGGGCCTCTCCCGTTGCGGAGCACAGGCTCCTGACGCGCAGGCTCAGCGGCCATGGCTCAGGGGCCCAGCCGCTCCGCGGCATGTGGGATCTTCCCGGACCGGGGCACGAACCGTGTCCCCTGCATCTGCAGGCGGACTCTCAAACACTGCGCCACCAGGGAAGCCCCTCCAGTTTTTAACTTTACTAAAATTAAAAAAAATCACTCTGAACTTGAAATCTCCTGTCTTAATACTTAATACTTCAGTCTATTATCTGCTTAGGAAAAGTAAGTTTGCAGGGAGAAAATAATGAACAACATACGGGCAGAGGTAAAAGAACGTTTCAGTCCTGCCAGCCCCATCGCTGCCTCTAGGACTTAGCCTGAGAGGCTCCCAGGCTCTCCTCCTTCCAGTAGCCTTTCTTCATGACCCAGTCCAAGCACTTTCACACTGGAGTTTGCATTGCCGTGCCCTGCATGTCCCCTCCCCTCAGTCATGGAATTCTGGAAGGCGTGTGCTCCGGTACTGATATTGAGCACACAGCGAGCGCTGAATAAAAGCTTGTTGAAAGGATGTAGGCTCCAACCTACAAATGAGTCATCACCCTCATCTTGTCCAATGCTGTCCAAACTCATTTTGGAGAAGAATAAACATTTCTTTTCCATATTTTCTGCTGCTCAGCTCCTTTTGGATGATTTTTTATTCAACCCATAAATGTACTTTCCCGTTACTAACTAGGAGAACTAGTTGAGACTTTCCTCAACGTTTTCTCTGGCAACCAAGTTAAGTTGACTGTGTATCATTGGCTCTGATCTTTCTCCTACCATTTCCTCTTACTGCCCAATAACCCTGTCCCAAACATCAAAGGCCTTCTTTGAAGATAAGGCCAAATCCACCATTAGGAAAAGAGAAACTATTTCCTAACTTTATTTCAGAAGATGGTATGACACGGAATCCCTCTGGGTTTTGTGAGATAAACACAGCCCAGTACATCAGATGAGAAGGCATTTGCTGTAATACCATTGGTAGACACATAAACACAGGACTTTCCTCATCCAAACCTAAGCAGGACTTTTCCACAGCAGTCTTGGGCTCCAAATCCACAGTAAATGGTTTATAACCAACATGTTGAACAGAATTTGCCACAGGGAAAGGGGGGTGACGTGGTCACGCCAGGGGAAAGAGGCCATCACAGGCTCTGACTATAAGAGTATCTGAGCTGAACTAGAACCAACTTGTTTAGTTCAGATTCCATTCAAAACTGGACCCTTTCAATACTGAAGGATGGGAAACACTCTTATCTTCAAGCAGAAACATAAAACATGAAAATATGACTGACCCAAGAGGCTAGAGATATTAGACTATGGGCAGAAAACCTCACCTGCTTCTTCTACTTCATTGCTGATACCCTCAGACGGTGTGAATGTTGACAAGACGTCATGGGTCACGGGTTCCAGGAAGCTTGTTCTGGGCCTGAGGAAAAAGAAAGTGTCTCAAACAAAGTAAATAAACACTTTGAAAGTATTTGCTTTTTATAAGGTACATTGCTATAAACCAGAGTAATTCCTTATTAGTCCATTTTACAAATAAGAAAACAGAGAAAAAGCAGTTTTTCTAAACCACAGGCTTCCTTAAATCTCCAGTTACCTGGCCCCTTGCTAGAAATGAACTGAATAGATGAAGGACAATGATTACATTGAAAATGGTCTGTTGCTCTTACAAAACCATTACCTTTGCATCCAGTGGTCCATTGTCACCAATATTCACCAAATATCTGTTAAGAACACATTATCAGCAGCCCTCATACGAAGTAAGGTGGGTTAACAAGGAAGGGGCTGGGGCTGGTAAGGCAGCAGAAGGAGTGAATCCCTTCCAAAATCAAGGGTCGGCTAATAGATGGGTCCAGCTGGAGCAGAAGGGTTCTATCAAGGTAATATTATTATGAGATGAGACAGAGCCACATGTGAGAGGGCTAAGAAATTTAGATTGTAAGCTTAGACTGGGGGATGAGTTTATGGGACTGATGGACGATGGGCGTTGGCGGGGGCGTGAGGGTAGGGGGGTGATGGGTAGACAGTGGGGAGTCCAGCCATGTGTCAGCAATTGTCAAAGGCATGAAGAAGCATGGTGGTGGCAGAAATGGAAAAGATGGTAGGATGGCGGAATAATAAAAGGAAAGGCAGGAGAGACTAGGCAAGCTTGGGGAAGGAGCTAACTCAGTGGTAATGGAGATTTAGTGAGCAATTAGCTCAGTGGATTGAGTCAGTGTGAATGGAGTCCACAGGCAGAGCCAGGGGTCCAAGCCAAGTTTCCTAATCCTCAGGGCAGTGCCACTTGAGATGGATCCTTTAAGTCTTACTTCCCGATTCCACCTCCCCTTCTCTACCCATTTCCAACCCCGAGGGCTCCAAGGAGGCAAGAGCCCTATTTAGGAAGGCTTTTTGTAAACATGGATTTCTACATGAAAAACAAACACCCTCTTCCATCCCACCCTCCAGCCCCAAATATTTGATCCAGCCTCATAAATGATGAAAATATTACATGTAAAGGCTCCACGTGGGAGCATTCTCAGGATTTAGGCTGTTCCCAGCAATAGCAAAGTGGTTGGATATACCTGCTCCCTACGAGTCTTTGGTCAAAAGCGTAGAACTGCTTCAGGGCTGTCTGACTACAAGAGTCTTTACTTTTATTGGAGCTATGTGAAAAGTATGTATGCACGTGGATGAACAAAAACAGTTATAGTATGGCAATGTGGGTAACTTTAAAACACATTTTTTTTTATTAGTAGTAGATGCTTGTGCAAAAAATAAAAATTGGGAGGGGAGGGTCATTTGGAGAACCATCCTTTGACTAAGAAAGCTTATTTTCTTGGGACAAAAAAGCTCCCAGTCTGGGGCCTGATGTGCTATAAACTTTTGCTGAATTGAAGTATGGAGATGACAATAAGTTCCATATGTTAAAGTAAATACACTTTAAAAAATGTAACAAATCACTTTCTTTTCTCTCCCTCCCCAATTTCCATCCACCCTCCTCCTTATTTTCACAGATAGCAAGAAGGCTTGGAGTTTGGAGGAAAGAAAGCAAACTCCCAATGTACAATATCTTCTGGTGCCAGGTTAATACTTTGTTACTCAGAGGACAGAAAGTACTGGAAGCAATTATCTGGTGCACTTGGGTCCTCTTCAGCTTCTATCCGCTTGTTTAAAAGACACAGAAAGGAAAACCCTTATTCGTTAACCATACTGGTGACTTTGTGGAAGTCTGAACTCAGGACCCTAGGGTCCCATGGAATATTGTGACCACCAGGTTCACTTCTCACCATCCTTGCTTATACCCTGGGGATCCCTGGGGAAGTCAACTGAATTATCTCACGAGTAAAATCTCCTACTCCTTCTTAGGGTATGGAAACCACAGATAAGTTGCTGAAGAGAGCTAGGAGCCCAAACATTTGAAAGAGCATTTCAAAGAAAGGAAAATCTCTGGACCCATTTGGAGGATGTAAAGGAACAAAAATCACCCTCTTATTCAAGTTGGCCAACCGATCAACAGCTAAGCAGGGTTCCCTCTATCCCACCACAACCCCATCCCAACTGTGGTCAAGGAACCAACTATCCTGGACTCTATCAACTTCCTCTCCTCAGTAAAGCCAATGCTGTGGCTTGGGCAATTTCTCCTGAGAAGCTGTTTCTTGCAGTGTTCCTCTTCTGAGATCTCTTGACAGAGGATGAACGAGACAGTGTCTGACATCTCAGTCCTCAGATTTCATAGGTGTAGACAGCCTCCGGCCTCCTGAAGGGCCAAACTTTAAGCAATAGTTGGGGGCAGGCAATGTCAGCAAAGCGGCAACTCTTACTTCTTTCATTTTCCATACACTCGCTCTAAAAACTCATCCTGCAGGAAAATCATAACTCCACTTCTGTTTTCACCCTGCCTCTGTCCCACTGACCCCAAGGTGCTTCAAGATTACCACGGGAACCTTCTAGATTTCAATTATGAAACCATAAAAAAGTACCAATTATAAGACCTCAGAAACGTTCCTGGGAAACCTGTTACATACCTCAAAATGGCCAAACTCTTGCCTCAGATTCACTTTAAGTTCAGAAAACAGGTTGGACAGATGTATGGGGGCATCCGTCCCCACCTTAGTCCAAGGAGACTGTTTAAATACTGTCATGCTGCCCTTGAGAACATGGAGATTGATTTATTGACTGTAACCAAAGAGATGAGAAACTATCACAGGGTTAGGCTGCCTGCTTAGGGCCCAATTGTGGAATAAATCAGAAATGTTTGTGCATTCAAGAATTTTGAAAATTTCATTCATTCAATGGCCAGTGTTTGCAAGGTTCTGGGTAATAAAGATCTAGGAGACCAATGTGAGCTGGGTACAAGGCACTTGGAGGTGGCACAAGGGCCTGAAACCACAACATACTTCTCACTCAGTCCATTCAAAGAGGTAACTCTGGGTCAAAAACTTATGCAAACCCATTTGAACTTGCTGAGAAGGGATGGGGGAGAGGCAGAACACCCCACCACGCCCAGAAAGTGCCTGTTTAGGATCGCTGGTGTGTGGTTTGGGTATTCTTAGCTCTACTGCCACATCTCTGGAGGCACACAACAACCTTTCAAGTAACACTGCCACTGCAATCCCATACCCAAAACAAAACTAAGCAAACAAATCCCTAGGGCTCCTTAAACTCCACCAGGTCTGCCTGCACCCCCAGCCCTCAAAATCCTCCTATCATCTGGAAGAGCAAACTAACACTGGGCACCCTGAAAGTTAAGCAGAGCCTTCAAAAATCCAGCAGAAAATTCTTCCTGGGTTCCTTGCCCTTCTCCACAGCCCCTTCCCACCTGTTCCAAAGGATCATTTCCCAGTCTCTCACAGTTACACCAACAAAAACCGCCAAGAGAACAACCCCAGGAGGACCTCTGGACACTCTCACTTCAGCCTCGGCCCTTCCACCCCTCTAGCGGGGGATGCTTTTCTGGGACTGTTTTGCACCCGGTCCGTTCGGTCCCTCATTCGGGTTTAGTTTTTTTTTTTTAATTTTTAAATTTTATTTATTATTATTATTTTTAAACTCCGAGACGGTAAACCCTCACCCCCTAAGAGGCCAAATGGGTGTGCGGTGGTGCTGTGTATTTGCCGACCCCTTGTGGGTTTCTCCCCAGAGCCCCGCGCTGGGAGCCGGAGACCGGTGTCAACCTCCGGGGAAGTTTGGGAGGCTGTCCGGGCCCTTCTTCCACCGGGAAGCTTCCAGGAACGACCGTCCAGACCGCACCCGCACGGAACGAGATGCGGCGGCCCCAGGCCTGGAGGCGGCCACCCGGCACCCCGCCGCCCGCCTCGGCCGCAGCCCCCCGCCGGAGCCCGCGGGCCGAGCGCTGGGACCCGCTCCCGCCGCCGGCGCGTCCCCACCAGCCACCCGCCGGCGCTTCCTCGGTATCGCCCGGCCTGCGGCCGCCTCCCGCCCCCTCCCCTCCCCAAACCAACAAATAAACACAACTTTTTATGAAAAGAAAACAAACTTCAGCGACGTGACTCACCTCTGGTGCAGCCGGCTCCTGGGAAGGGTGAGCCGGGGCCCGGGGGCGCGGTGGGCGCAGAGAGAGCCACACAGCCCGGTGCCGCACGGACACACAACCCGCACAGTGACACCCAGGGACACACAAAACGGGAGAGCGGCGGCCGCGGGAGCAACAAAGGAGCCCCGGACCGAGAAGCTGCGGGCCAGGGAGGGAGGGCGCGTGCGGGTGCGTGCGGCTGCGGCGGGCGTGAGTGTGAGTGTGTGTGCGCCTGTGTGTGTAAGCGTGAGTGTGCGTGTGCGCTCGCGGCGGCTGACACCGGCGGGCCGGGGCTCAGGGTCCCTGCGGCAGGAAGCGGGGGCCGCGGCGGCAGCAGCGGGAGGACAAGGCAGGGGACGCCGCGCCCTGCGCACCCGGTCCCTCCATATGGAAGAAGCTTTTTTGGATGACTGAACTCGCAAACAATTCCTTCTTTTGCTTCTGCCTAGGAGCCTCCCATTACCGCGCAAGGAGGAGGAGGGGGAGGGGGGAAGAGGAGGCGGGGAAGAGGGGGAGGAGCAAAGTGGAGCAAAGAAAGTCTTGGAAAGGAAGCTGGAAAAAAAAAAAAAACAGTACCCCCAAACTCAGTTTTTCTCCTAATACCCATTTTTCTTTCTGTTGCGCCTTAGTCCCGTGCTCTCCCCAAACTTCACTTTCTTTCCGGTACCAAAAGCAAAGTCCTCCGCCTTTCTCCCACACCCACGGGCTCCCCGGAACCCCCATTTCTCTTTAGCTTCACCTCAGACCCTTGCTCTGCTACGCTATCCTTCCCTCCTTTCGCCCAGTCTCTTCTCCCCAAGTCTTTTTCTGACACCCCCCCTTCTTAATGGTCTCCTTCATTCTGCAAGCAAATGATTGGATAAATCATTAAAAGTAAACTCTGTTGTTAAACGCGCCCCTAAATGCCCCCAAAATGGGGCAGCGGCTGTCGAGAAATTTATAAGGAAACCACAGCCCCAATGCTACCTCCCCGCGACCGACCCACCCGGTGGGTCGGGGAAGGGAGGGTTCGCCGCGTCCTCCTCCGTTGACAGCGCCCTGCCCTGACCTCCATTCATCATCCCAGGATGGAAGAGCGAGGAAAAGGATGGGGGGTGGGGAGGCGAGGGAGGGGTAGCGACCACAGAGAAAAGTTAGTTACGTCCTTGTGCGCGTGTGCGTGTTAAGCCCTCCCTTTAGTGTTGGGCAGAAAAGCATTCAGAGTAGCGGTTCTCAAACTTGAGCTGCATCAGAACCCCCTGCAGGCTTATTAAAACACAGGCTGCTGAGCTCCACGCCCAGAGTTTCGGCTTCGGTAGGGTCTGAGGTAGGGCGGAGAATTTGCATTTTTAGTAAGTTCTCAGGTGGTGCTGATGCTGTGTGTCCAGGGCCACGTTTTAAAAACTACTTTTCCACGGTATTGAGAAGTCAAGCACGTACTGAGTTGGTGGCAAATGGGTCCCCTTCTTAATCTGTAAGTGATGAAACATAGTGAAGGGTCATCCAGTCCACACCCTTATACCGAGGCTGAGGAGACCGAGACCCAGAAGGGTTAAGGCAGGCGTTCGCTGGAGTTTGTGCCAAAGTGGGAAGGAACCATTCTGAAAGCGGACAGGCAGGCAGGGAGTGGGGAGAAGGAAGGTGCCGCCTCCTTTATGGCAGGAGAGCCGCACTGGGAGGCAGCAAGCTACCATGTGGCTCTGAGAAAGTCACCTAACCTTTTTGGGCCTCAACTTTATTTTCTTCAGTTTCTCATCAGTAAAAATGCATACTTTACACCAAGTATATGATTTTAATTGAACCTGAATCCAAAGATGTTTAAAAGGGCAACACAAACATCCTTTAATCAATATGTTGTACTATTTTTTTCTCATGCTTTTGGAAATCCAGGCATGAGCCAGTTTCTTTATTGATGTATCTGGAACGTTCGGCTCCACGTGCCTGGATTCTTGGGTCTGTCCCCAGGGGAAAGTGGAGAAAGGGGATGATCCATTTTCAACAAGGTGAAAAAAGACTATATACTCCTTCCTTGAACTATGCACTTGTGTTCTTTCCACTCCTTTCTTCTCCAGTTCCCTCCCTCCCCACTTTCCTTCTCTTAATCTCCAACATTCTCCCCCTAACATTCTCCAAGGCCTATTTTTCTCTCCACTCAATGCCCACATCAGCTTCCACCTTCTTACCGTCCTCCTCTAGGGCACAACTCAGGAGTACAGGCCTGGGGCCCATCCTGGGTACAGAACTCTCAATTTCCCAAGGGAATGGGCCAGCCAGCCTTCCACTGCGGTGAAAACACTCCCGCTCCCCAGAGCCCCCAGCAGAGTATTGAGCTGTCTGTCTTTTAAAGATGACTCCAAGTCCCACTCTCACTGATAATGTGGGATACCAATGAGGAACCTATGCATGAAACGCTCATATTGATTCTTCTATATTCTTTTATATACTATTCATTGATGAACATCTCAAAGATGTCTCTTACCCCTTCCCATTTTCTTCTTCCAAAGACTTTCTCCTAGGACTCTTGATTCCCTCCACTCTGGCCTTTGGGTGTCCCCTATACCCTGAGTCAACCAGTCAGAGCACAACAGAAAACAAAGAAGGTTGAAGTCCTTAGCAACATTATTTAGCCAGGAGAAAGACCCCAGGGCCTGTACTTCCCTCCATCCCAGGCTGCTCGTGGCGCTGCTCATCTTTCCCACAGAGTTCAGACAGAATGCAGATCCCAGCCTAACCGAGAGGGCTTAATTCTGCCGCAGCCCCAAGCACACTGTTGGCAACTCACGTGTGTTTATTGTTTTTATGGCTCTTTGTATTAACATGATTGTGTTTATTATTATTACCCCTGTAAGGACATTGTATCTCTGAACTCTCTCCCTTTGCCTGGAGCAAGTTCCTTGCCTAATTCTCCCTTCCCCTCTTTATTAGTTTCCCTATCACTACCATCCCTACCCCACTCTAACCGCCCAGCCATCTCAAAACAGAGTGTGGGCTTGTGATCAGGTGCTCTCTGCTACTCTCCACTTTGTTCATGGTGAATCCCTCTGGTGTTTTGCTTCCTTGGGGGCTATCTGGGCCTCTATCAAGAAAGCAGCATTTAGTATGGAAGTCACATTTATTATGTCACGTTTATTATGTTGGGGGTGGGTAGGCAGGGATTGTAGATCCATAGAAGTTGCATATCACGAAACTGTGCAGAGTGAACTGGAAGGAATCGCAGTGAGTGACATGAAGAGAGGATGCTCCCTCCTGAGTGTGTTATAGACACTCCATTTGTATCATATGGACAGGGGGCCCCTTGGTGGTGAAGGATATCCGGAAAGAATTGTGCTGAGGAAATTACTAACACGTAGGCAAAGAGAAACAGGGACTTGATAATCTCCCCTCTGTTTTAATATAAATCTGTTTTCCTCATTATAAAATATGTTCATTGAAGAAAATTTAGAAAATATGGAAAAGCGCAAAGAAGGAGGAAATTACCTTAATCCCACTACCTACGGGTACCAATGTTAACAGAGTGTTTTCTCTAGCCATTCTTCTCGTTTTTGTTTCTCATCATACAAATCCATAGTTCATCTTCACTGAGTATATGATTTTAATTGATCAGAACTGGAAGATGTTTAAAAGGGCAGCATAAATGGATACTTTTATTCAATATTTTGTATTTTTTTCTTATGCATTTGGTAACTTAGGGGTCAGTTTCTTCACTGATTCATCTGGTACTTTCACATTTTGTAAAATTGTGTTCACTGTAAACACAGGTTTTGATCCTACTTTTTAAATTTAACATTGAAATGTGATTATTTTCCCCATGTCATTAAATCTTCTCCAAAGTTCAACTTAAACAGCTGTGTGCTATTCAGAGAGGTTGTTATTTATTCAACCATTCTCCTATTGTCATGTATTTAGATTATTTCTATTTTTATTATGATCATGCATCACAGTTGACTAAACATCTTGTCATAAATCTTTATTTATAATTCTGATTATTTCCTAAAGGTGAATTCCTATGAGTAGGAGTTTTGGATCAACGGACAGAACGTTTCAAGGGCTTTTGGCTGCTGTTGCAAAACTGTCCTGTCATGGCTCCAATATATATTTTCATCTCTCAGATCTCCACAACAATGAGATCATCAGATACAAGGCTCCAAGTGGAGACTTGATTGATTTGTCCACTTTAGATGACTACACAGATAAAGAAAACAACGGCCAATATTCACTACAGGGGAGACAATGCTCAAGTGGGAAGGGTGGAACAGTAATTTCTTACTATGTGAGCTCAGTTATATTTATGAACTTATTTAACCTTCCCAACAACCCCCTGAGAAATAAACTAACATTTATTGAGCACTTACTGCTCACAGCCTCTGTGCTGGATTCTGTGTGTACGTGTGATCTCGAATCCCCACAGCAACCCTTTCCCGTAGGTTTCATTATCTCCATTTTACAGATATGGAAACTCAAGTAACTTGCCTAAGATCCCTAGCAACTAAGTGGTGGTACTAATTCTGAAACCTGGGGTTTTTCAAGTGCAACCTATGGTTTCCCTGCAGCTGTTTCACGAGTTACAGGCTTCTTAGTGGAGTAAGAAAGGCATATTAAGAAGATGCTTGAATTTTGTCAAGCCATTAAGGAATCTTTTGTGGGCTTCCAGATGACTGTTTTTTTTAATAGGACATCCAAATACATTCAAAGAGCTAAGGTGACTTACTAACTGTAATTAATAGAAGAGTCCAAGGATTGTATACCTTAAGAGAATGCTGTTCTGATGTATGAGTTAAGATATCTAGATTAAAGACTAGATATTAAAATTCACAGTACTAACAATAATAAGAAAACTGGCTTTTGTATACATTCTTATTGCCAAAGGTAATGTTTGAATAAAGAATTTTTATCTTGATCAGAGGTGCTAGAAATAAACTATTTGTGCGTCCAACTTCCTAGTTTCAAATTCTAGCTGTTGAATGTATAGTTTTTATTTATTAAAGAAATATCTGAAAACATTTTCAAAATAAATGCAAAACTTAATTCATTAATTTATTATTAGGAAAATTAGGGAACTCCCTAGTGGTCTAGCGGTTAGGACTCTGCACTTCCACTGCAGGAGGCATGGGTTCGATCCCTGATTGGGGAACTAAGATCCCACGAGATGCATGGCACGGCCAAAAAGAAAAAAAATAAAAAGGCAAATTAGCCCTCATTTGCTCTTTAGTGGGCCATTAACTAGCTATCTGAGTTGGCCTACCTCTCCATGCTGGTTATCACAAGAGCTGCCAGAGAAGGAATGTGCCCAGTTGCTCCAAAATATTTGATGACTGAATGAAGAATGATGAATAAAAGTATGAGATTGACCTCTAAAACAATTAGTAAACAATGCAAGACAGTGTGTAACTAAACCCTAAGTTGCAGGTTGAGGCAGGATTACAGGTGAGCCTGGTACAATGCCATCTACTCCGCATTCAAGTTGAGCTGGCTGGGACTGACTTCTGTCGTCCAGCGCTGCCAGCTCAGGTGTTCCTACTGGCCATGTGTTCTTTGACTTTAAGGAGTCATTCTCCAGATTCCCTTGAGGCTGCCTACAGACAAATATACCTTAGGGGGAGGATGACATAAAAAAGCAAGATTGTGGGATCAATCTGGATTTGGATCCAGTCTTAAGCTGGATACTCTGAATCCCACTTTCTTTATCTGTGAAAATTCAAAATAATGTATATGAAGTATCTCTCTCAGTATATGATTCTTAGTGGGTCATCTGGTGCAACTATACCAGTTGTTTACAGTTAGCACTTATTCTGATCGGTCAGTTCCAATGCCTTGACCATTATTTTACATATATATTTATAGAGTACCTTGGTGGGTACTCTATAAGTGGTAGTTATATTAGTAAAAGTTTGGGTCAGAGGTACAGCTAGGACAGAGAAATGGAAACTAGAGTAATCCAAGGCCATTTCCATTACCCATGCTGCATGCTTGATTTTCCACACTCCTTAATTCTCAGACA